CTGAATAAATTGGACGAAAAATATATTGGATTAAAATTTGTGGACGAAACATTATATCGACCTTATGAATTGGACCAACATTTGGCTGATCTTAGCAAGATATAATGACAATCATCAATATGGTAAAATGTAAAAATGTTATGAAAGAATCAAAAAAACAATTACTTAACAAATTTTTCTTTATTTTTTTTAAATGTATTTTAAATAACAAATTTTTTCTAAATAATCATTTATTGTATATATTTATCAAATACTTAAAAAAAAAATATATATTACTGTCAGAAAAAATATATAATATTATACATTAATTTTTAATAAGTATGTATTAGAAAAAAAAAGCAACGAGTAACTTAATAATTTTATCACAAAAAAGAAACTTAAATTGCGTATAAATTACTCAAAGTAAAACGTAATTAAATTACCATCAAATTAATTAAAAATTAATTTCGTTACAGTAATTTGTAGCTATTAAGTGAAGTAACTCGTCGATACACTGTCGCAAGAGTAACATATAAATATTAGAATATTATTCGATGTACATCATAATACTATTAGCATTTTCGCGAAAAGAGATGGAAAATAAAATTGTGTTTTAAACACTCCGAACGGTTTTCGAACGAGCGACAAAAAAAAAATAACAAATAAATAAAAATCATCATATTTAGTAAACAATAATAATATTGTTGTGAAGGGTGTTGGAAGGTGGAAAAAAAAAGCAACGGCGGCAGCGTCGAGAACGCGCGTTGGCCATTGTTTTCGTCTGTCCATTGATCGTTTTGCCATTGAAGACAAAACCGTTTCGGACGAAAGCCGGGTCGAACCCGGGCGGCGGGTGCGGCGACGGCGATGGGTGGGCGACAAGGGTGGGCCCGGCGCCTGGGTGTACTTCTCTCGGGTCCGCCGCCGTCGTCGTCGTCGCCGATGCCGCAGCTGCCCCGAAACTCGTTCCGTATGAATGGGCTCGCGCGACGTGGAGATGCGAAATTGTCGGTCTCGCCGCCCGCCGCGCTCGTCTTCTATTCACGCCGTATATTGTTATACGTCGTATAATACGGCAAATACCTAGATGTTTGAAATATTAGGTGATTAACAGCTATGAATATACCGCCTGATGATAGTGAAACTAAAAAATCATGATATACGGTTGGGAAAATGCAGAGTTTTTCGATTAATTTGTTGTTCACTTTGTAACAATCGTTTTTCGCTCATTTATTTATTTAGTTTTTTTTTGCACGCGTTATTAGTCACAGACGTCCTTCGTTTTTAAACATTTTTTTTTTTCTTACATTTTGAAGAAATACTCCGTTATCCTCTAGTACGCGATCGTGTGTATTACGGGAAAAATAAACTTTGCTAAGTGCAACATCTCTCCACAAAAACGTTCTGTATGTACAGGATGTGTACATACTGCAAAACGGTTTTAGCTAAGATTACTAGGTAAATATGCATTGGAAAATCAGTTTACTAAGAAAATATAAAGTGTTTCCATTGTAAATACTGTTTTATTCTCTAAAACATGCTACATACTACGTTTTCTCTAATATTAGAAGATATTTTGGTCAATAGGATATTTTATAATTTCTTTGAAACTTAAAAAATCACTTACAGTGGATTAATTGTGTTTTTCTTAAGGAAAAAACGCAAAATTATCCAATCATCTCAAATATAAAATAATATCAATTTTAAAAATTTGGTGTTTATAGTTTATTCACAACCAATATACACACATATCATACAATTACAATAATAAGCGGATTTTTATGTAATAAAAAAAGTCAAAAACTGTAAATATTTGTAAAGTTAGTTTTGCCCAGATATCTATAAAAAAAGTTTTTATTTAACATTCATTTTTAAAATTATAATCGCATAAAAATAAAATTAAATTAAAAATAAAAACAAATAAATGTGCAAGGAACAGTAGCCATTAAAGTAATAAATTATAAAGTATGTGTGGCTATATTAAAAATGGTTTACCATTATTAACTTATTTATCAGGACGTTCTCAATTAAAATTAACACAGATTGAACAGATTTCTTATAGAAATATTTTTGAATATAATATTATGCCTGTAAATAAGTAAATATAAAAATACAATATATTATATTTATTAAAACACTGTATAATAAATTATTATTATGTACTTATTGGTAAACTATTTGAAAAAATGTACCTATTTAAAGTATGTGGAATATTTAACAACTTATCATGAAATGTGATAATTTTAAACATAACCAAGAAAATCTACATTTAATAAAGTTGTTTATATTTAAATAAAAATATAATTAAGTACTATAATCTCTCCAAAGATACGTTCTTCCGTTCAAAAATACATATTGTACACATTATTATGTATAGGATGATTCACCGAGTGTGTTCACCCCATCTTCTCTGTAAAAATGAGAAATGAAATACACGTTTTTGGCTGCCTCACCAAGAAAAACGGTAACCAACTTATCTAGTATAAGTTGTCAGTGAATACATCTCAAGTTTAATTGGGAAACAATTAAACACGCTTTAACAAAATTCGTTTTTCAAACGGATATCAATTCAGTTAAATAGAAACAGATTTGGCTACAGAATTTCTCTTTACTAACATTATTGCACAACAATTATTTTTAAAAGAACCGCGGTGCAGAGAATTGAGTGTATATAACTTCAAGGGACAGTTGAGTCATATTGAGACTCGTCTGTAATTGTCACGTATTAATTATGTACAATATTTTATGTCTTCGTCGCGAACATATTATATTTACATAATTAGTATACGTAATATTATGTCATTAGATTGTCAAATTATCTTTGAAACGTATTTAGATTTTAATGCATGCATTTCATTACATATTATATCATATAAAATCTTAAATATCTTTGGCAACTGGGCACTTATGTCATTTACGTTTAAAGATTTCGATCGACGGGGAACAATCATAATATATTAGAAAATCACAACGATAATATATAATAATATAATCTCACCAACAACACATTCCCCTAGTCCGAAATATACAAACCTATTATATGTATGTACAATCAAGTATGACCACTCGAGTATCAAGGAGGATAAAAATAAATCTGACTTTTGTGTTTTCAAGCTATATTTCTCAAATATAATAATATACCTACACTAAAATTTAAAATTACAGTTATATACGTTATATAAATATTTGACCGTTTATCACGTTTCTTAGAATTTACAATAAAGTGGTTTTCGTCATAATTTACATAATTAGTGTAAATTCCATTTTCCAAAAAATCATTGATGAAACACTGGTCAATTTTGGATTAGAAATTTAGTTGTATAATATACATTTTTATAATATACCATAGAGTAATTCACTAACATGCTAACGTTTATTATTAATGTAATAAATATTCATTTTTTTTTCAAGTTTTGTTTAATAAAGGTTTTAAATATTGTCGTATATTATAAGTATTAGATTATTTTTTATTTAAAAACTCTTAATCTTATCCCGTTATATCAGGGTCGTGGGTTCGAGCCCCAAGTTTGGCGCCACTTTGTCGTACACGCCAATTACTTCGACGCACACGAATAAAAATAAAACACACACAATTTAAAATTTAAGCACTTTATTAAACCATGATGTTCTATATAGTGACCGAATAGAGCGGTCACCACATAAAACCTCCTTTTAATCTTCTCTTGTTATTATATATACCTATTATCATAGGTTAACCTAGTTTCTTATGTTTATATAATTAATTTTTATTGGCCTACTGATGTTTACTAATTACGGCTTACTACTAAATCTGCAAGTTACTTATTGCATAATTATTTTCTTAATTTAATTCTATACGTATGGATTTTTAATGCACAATATAACAATATACTTAAGTGGCATATTTACAAATATTCAGATGTTTTACACCATTCAAGGAGTGTTCAATGCAAACTTTTTTTTTATCAAATGAAGTTAGATAATAGGTCCGGGATAGTAGGTTTGGAAAAGGTGAAGAATATGATGATTTGAAAATTTAAGTGATTAATACACTAATCTAGAATAAACATCAGAATAAATAATAAATATTATATATATATATATTTCATAGTTTTGTAAAAACACGTTTGAGGATTTTTATCCATAATCCATACAATTAAATAACTCAAAAACTACTCATTCAAAATAAAACTGTCGTTTAAAAAAAAAAAAATAAAATAAAAACAATCATCCGGTTCACAATAATTTAAAGTACACACAAATAAGCATAGTCAAAAAACAAAAAAAAAAATTATCACCATCGCAGCACACTCCATATATACAGTGTGAAAAATGTTTGCGTTTTGAAAAAATAAATATTAACGATACGGTAGCCCTTGATAAGTCTGCTTGAAAATTTCAGAAATCAAAATTTAAATAAATTCTTTTATCGGAAGAAAAATAAGGGAGGGTGCATGCTTGCAGGTGAATCACCCCTCTTATTATGCCATATTTCTTCAGTTTTGAGGGCTGAGGGGTGGTACTTGTGTCGTTTACGTTTAGAGATTTCGGTCGACGGAGACGCGCCGGAGAGAACGCTCGCGCGCGCGTGTGTGTGCGCGCGCGTGTGTGTGTGTGTGTGTGTGTGTGTGCAGTGTTCGCGGGCTGAGAGAAGTTTAACGACAACGCACGGGCGGCGACGGGAGAGGTCGGCCCGATTGAATCAATACGGCGGCGGCGTGCTTACGGCGCATGAACGGTAACCGCCGCCGCGCTTGTGCCGTGCACATATTCCGCGGCGGTGCGCGCCGGCGGCACCTGCGGCGGGGCGGGCGTCGTCGTACACCGCCGCCGCCGCCGCTGCTGCCGCCACCGCCGCCACCGCCGCCAAGCAGCTGCTTGCGGGTAAGCACTGCTCGAAAGCGGAGATCCTCCGGGAACGTTCGCACCGGAGACAGCGGCGGACCACGACGCGCGCACCACCGCTGTTGTTGCTGTCGCTGTTGTTGTCGCTGTCGTGTCGTTGTTTGAATCGTTTTCGCCGCCGCCGTCGCGCGCGTGCGCGCCCGATTTTCACACTCGTCGCGTTCGTTCCGTTATTTTCCCCAGAAACCTTTTCCCGTCCAATCCTCCGGCCAGTCCCGGAAAACGCTCGCGAGACGCGCGCGGGGGACGCCTTTATTGCAGTTTTTCCGTTTTTCCGGAGCGGTTTCCTCTCTCCTGCCCGTTTTCCGTTTTCCTTCCGACCACTATGTAAGTGGTCCGCAACCAGCGCTGCTGACGAAATCCTACTGCGCGTCCTGTTCACGGCACACCGGTGGGCCGCTGCTGACCACAACGAGGACGAGGACGACGACGCCGAAGACGTTAGCGGGAGCAGAGGTGGCGGCGGCGATGGTGACTGCGTGCTGCTGCTGCTTCGACGATCACACCGCCACGCCCGAGTCGCGATGACCGGCCGCGCCACGCACACGGTGACCGCGACGGCATGGCTCGTGGCCTGCGTCGTCTTTATGGCGCCGATAGCGCCGCCGGACGCGCACGCCGCGTAAGTACAAATTATGAAAATCATTTTGCTATGTTGTCTTGTCGTTATACACGTGATCACTAGACGAGGTGTGGGTGGATGGCATATTGCCGATCTGCTGAGGACCTCAAAAAAATGACGTGGGGAGGGGGGAGGGGGTTCGCAGTCACTTTCGCGTGGTTTGCCGTTTAACGTATACGTAAAGATGGGCTGCTTTGGGATCGCGGTATCGTTCATTGACCACGATCTACAGCAACATTTTCAGACTTGGGCTAACCTATCGAATTTTTGACACGGTAAAATGACAACCGACGGAGCGGTAAACCCGGCGCTTAATAATATTCATATAGTTACGATAATGTCGTGACATACCACGACCGCGGAATCACGGTATTCGTCGGTTGTTCTGCAGAAGACGACGTTTGAAATCCATAAAACCACTCGTCCAACCCCGCCCAGTCTTTAGTTCGGACTGGCGCGGACCGGTCAACATAATTATTATATTATTACGTTAATGGTAACATTAGGATCATTCGATTTAGAGTAGAATAAAACATTTATTAGTATTTTATCACTGTTATAAAGCATTAATGAAAAAAGTAGACATGGGTGAAAATCAGCTATTATTATGGTTGGAGGATCTAATTTCTTAAAATTCAAATAAATGAAAAAAATTTAAAAATATCGAGAATAAAAGTATTTTAACAAACGTTCCAAGTTCAAACTTTCCGTGTTCTTCACTGGAACTATTTTTTCATATTACCGAATAATTAAATTTAATGAAACCAACTATGCAGAAAAATCAAACTCTACTAACTATGTTTAAAATGATGACAGTCGATTGCCGTATACAAAAACACGCTTTAAAGAAAATAAAGATTTTTTTTCTGTGTTTTTTCTATTAACCAAGAAAATATTCTATATGCATATAGAAAAACAACTATTGTCAATTTGTGTAATATATTATATAAATAGTAGGCTTAAACGATTTTTTAGTGGACCAAAACTCTAACCTAACCTTGTTTCCCCTCTTGCCAATTTTCATGAACGAATATAGTATCACTTTGAAATTAAATAGTTTTTCTGACCGCTCACGTACGTATCAATTCATTATAAATACAACACACAGTCGAGTTTGAAAACCGATCTAAACGGATCAATAAATGGTTAATATTATAGTTATGATGTGCTACTGCAACGTGTATGTGTGTATGTATTATCATACAGAGAAGCGCTGGTCGGAAAACCTACGCTTTTATTTAACGGTCACTAAGTGCAGCAGTAGTTTTTCTATACCTATCGAAGAACAATAAAAACGGCGAAAATATGAGTTTCACCATCCCTGCTTTGACTTTGCATCGCTTTTATATTAAAACTATTATTGTTGTACGCAAGCATTATATACCTACATAATATTGTGTATTTTAAGTGTGCGTGCCCGTGATAAATACTATTGCGCGTGTAACGGATGTTAGTTTTTCCCCCGTTTTTTTTTTTCGCCTTTCCGAATCGTCGTGTGTGCATCACACATGCACGGCCCTCCACTCGGACGTTCAAAGAGGTTTTTTAATATTTAAAAACATTTATTCTGTCGTTTTCCATTGTAGCAATAATATTTTTTCACATACGCTTATCTACTATATATAATACATTCTCTTGGGGACGTCTTGTCTACGGCTGTGTTCGGCATTTTGTATGACATTTATAATATAATTATGTTTGTATGACACACATATACACACGCATATACAAATACACACGTAATAGTCGGGAAATCGGTGATGTGTTATAAAGGGCATTTTTAACGACAAATTAATACGGCTACTCTGATTATAACTTCATGCACGGTGTATTTTTTTTTTTTTTTAATATATTCTGATTTGTAATAGAAAATTAATAACATAAATGGGCTATTGCACAATGTAAACAAATCTAAAAAAAGTATGTTGCGATAAAAATTGTTTGTAAACATTGATTCGATTTTTTTACAAAAAAGAAAAAGAAAAAAAGTTTACTATTACACCTATCTACACCAAATATACAAGAAAAACAGAATATGAAAATATAATATCATAATATAATTGTGTTTTCAGGTGAAATTAAACACTAAAAACGTTGAACGACATACCAAAATAAAATTGAATTGTCATTATATTGTATAAAAGTATAATATATGTCATATATAAAAAAGCACAGTATACCTAATTGTATAATACTGTTGTTTTATATCATATAAGACTCATGTCTCATGATTCCATAAAGTTACAACGGATATAGATATTGTAGATATATAAAACATACTTATTAGTATGTAAATAATAAGTATACACAACATTTTCATTTTTTAATATTCAATATTATTTATATGACAATTGATTAAAGAAATTATAAAATCAAATCAATGTATACATTTTTTGTTTTCTAATTTTTTCCATTAAGGACGATATAGTCCACTCCTCTCAAGTTTCCAATCATATATTAACACCATTGATTATTGCAAAATATATGCATATAGCAATATACGTATATCTTATAAAAGATTAAGTCTATTGTTTAAGTAATAAGTTTACACAATAAATTATATAACTAAATACAATATATTATATATATTTATAATGCACACTATAGTAGACTCTGACCCCCGGTCGATTCGTTCAACTCCCTTTGCATCTTGAAATTTAAAATATTCAAAAATAAAGTTGGTACACGAAACTTTTTAAATAATAAAGAGTATTAAGTAAATATTAATTTATTTTTGGATTTCTGTAACAATTATATTGAGTGGAAGAAAAAATTCACAAAACTTTTTTTATAATATAATGGATAGATATTATATTATATTTATAAAATATACAATATATTATATATACATATAATTTAATATGTACTGCAATATTTATTCATATAAAAACAGGTGTCATCGCAGTTGTATACAATATACAAAAACAGTGCTGAATCGTTTATTTTTTCTTTGTACAATACTATAATGTATACAATGTGTATTATTACGCAATACATGAAATGAAAACGTCCTTTCAAAAATAATCATTTTTATAGCATTGTATATGTGTATAGATCAATATATCTGTGTATAATCCATGTCTAGTTTTCTTACAAAATGATTTTGTATTATATTTTCATCATAATATATATATATGAGTCACAAATCTTTCTTGCGGCAGATTTAATAGAAAAGATTATGAAACAGTTATTGCCTCTTGCCCCCATGGTTTCCCTAATTTATATTTTACACCTGCTTATTGATTGAACGTTTTTGTAATTTTCAAATTTCGTACAATATAATACACTAAATATTAGTTGTTTTGTTGATCACTTTAACAATAGGTACTCTATAGGTTATATATCTGCAGTGAATTTAGAGTGATTAATGGATGGAATGATATAATATTATTTTAAGAAACGTTTTATTATTTTGGATGTTGAGAGGAGAAACAATTACTGATAAATTAAATTTTTTACGTGTTTTATTTTTTTTATTTTTTTATGAGTATATATTTTGTTTATGACTGTTTATAAACCCTTCAAAAGAGGTTAGGCAGCAACTTGATATATACATATATATATATATTTTTATATGTATATATTATATTTATTTTTTTTTTCGTTGAAAACTTAAATATTATACTTAGGTACATGTAAATAATACAAATATTTATATTTTAAAAATATAGTATTTATACGTAAATGATTAACTCCAGAAACTAAGCTTGTTATGGAGACATGAGTTTTTATACTACCATCTTGTATTAAACGATAAATATTTAAATCGATCATACTTGATTTAATAATTACAAAATTATCATAAAAATATACAATTTTCAAATATTTTAGAATTCAATACCATTAAAGTATAACAATAATATTATTTAAGCTAATAGTTGAATGTTTTCATTTATCACTCCTTGGACGATTTAAATCAGCACTATTGAGTACACACAAAAATCGTATATTATTAATCTAGCATAAACATTTTGTTACCTAATATATTATAATAATGTAGTAGATTACCAAGTTTTTGTCTCTTACCGACGTGTACAAATTATAAGACACGCAAATATAGCTGCTATACATTATACGACCTTAATATTGTATGGGATTTAAGTGGCGTATCGGCCGTATCGGTAAATTCGACGATGTTCACCACCCAACCACCAATTCTCGTACAAAATTACTCAACACCCTTCATGTAACGCCAACGACACGTCTATTCTATTTTCACGTTATTCGATCGTAATTCACACAACACGCCGATCCATCGCTGTTTTTGATCACATAATAATAATATCATTATGCTACTTGAACCTTATTATTTATATATTTTATTATTCGTATACATTTCTTATTAGAATATCAGAACATGCTCATAGCATACATTACTATAATAACATTATTAATTTGTATGTCACGTGTTAGGGATCCTATGCCATAATATATTATAGTAAATATAATCGCTTAGGGCGGTCTCTTTTGAGTCGTGTAAGATAACGTCGAGCTACGATCATAAAAGTATACGTACTGCAGTATACTGTATAAAACCTGATTTAATATAATAGTAATATAAATTGTATGTCGTTATTTTGTAATATTCTACGTGCATACGAACTTTTATTCTGAACGATCGCATACTATACTAAAGTATAAAGATTACGCATGTTATTATTATCGTGCACATTGTTAAATGCCCAATATTTTATAACGGAATATCATTATGTTTATTATCTCGTGTCAGGGCTACAATAATAGGGTGACATTTGAGAACCACCGGCGAAACGTCGTAGTATTATTACGTCACCGCCACCGGTTGCAGCGGTGTGTAATAAGCAGCGCAGGCCACACGGGAGGAAGGGAGAAACGCTGTGTAACGATGTTATTAAAAAAAAAAAAAAAAAAAAACCACCCTGAAAATAAAATGCATTTTGTCTCATTAAGTGCTCAAGGTCGTCCGCATGTACACTCATCCTTGGCCCGTCCCTTATAGCTGAAACGCGATGTACTTTGTTTTTCAACTTTTCATGTATATCTAGTATCTACATGTGCATGTTCTATTATATTTATTCATACTAGGCGTTCAATTATCGTCGGTCTTATTTATTGTACTTGTTATACATTTATTTTGTTTTATTTCAAACGAACGCAATAAAACATCGTATAGGTACATGGCTGCCTGAAATCGTTTTCATGTCGTAAACATTTTTATAGATTCAGAGCGAAACGAGGAATGTATTAATATATTTAGTTTAACAACGATGTGTTTTTATTTATATTTAATATGTCTTTGGTCGCTTTTCTTTTTAGAAAAGAAATTTAGGAAGAGAGAGTCCCAATCACCTCGTTCTCATTCTATCTTTGTCCCCGCTAATAAATTGGACATAATTGCAGTGTTTTAAAGATATCGTTTATTTGATTTTCTCACGTTTCCGTATAACGTGCAAGAAAATACGCTCCAAAGAAAATTATTATAATTAAGTCATAAATGCTTGAATCATAAAATCTATAATTCGTTTTAATGTTCTAATTAAGAAATTATAATGCAACAGAAACTGCGTACTCTCACCGATTTAAATTAAATTGTGATCAACATTGAGAAGTTTTGAATAATTGGAAATATTTTATTATATTTATTTATTTTCATGTAGGTAGGTATACAAACTAACATTTTTTTTCATTTCTAAACCGTTATTCAATCCGATAAAATATTATGTAAGAAAACTAAACGTACAATTTCAAGTATTCATAATTTATTAGGTAGTACCTGTACAATTAATACATTAATATTTTATTTGTAATTCGTAAACATTTCCCCACAATAATTTAAATATTATATTTAATGTATTATCATCATTTATTTAAGACTATTATTCTTAGTACCCACATACATTTAAACAAGTTAAAAACTAATTATTCGAATTTGGATATTTAAAAAAGTGGTTCAAATTTGAAAAAAAAAATAATCTTTTTATCAACATTTCTTTGAATATATAAAATCTATATGTACTGATTAATATCTGATTTGAAATTTCAAAAATTAGAATTGTTAAAATATAAAAAGAGAATGTGCTAATCATAGTAAATCTACTTGTATATTTTTTTATCATCCCATATTTAGTAAGGTCTTGTGCAGATATCATAACCCTTATAAAAGTTGTGTTAATAATTTCATAAAACTGCACAGTTTACTACCAATCATATTATTCAGCAATGTTTATAAATCCATCAAGTTTATAAATATTGTAAGGGATTGACACGTGTGAGACCGTGGCTGTAAATAGTATAAATATGGTGACAGTTTACTCTTTAAAATTATAACATACATTTTTAATTCCATACTTTAATGAGAATATTATCCGGAGTATTTTGATCTATGCAAATACAATTTTGAGTAATTAGTTTATTAGCTGTAAGTATTTAAAGTTTTAGTAATAACATTGAAATGGACCAACTTTTTTTTTTATGGTACCGCTACGTATCACTCCACTCTGTTCATTAAAAGTTTAAATACGTATAACTCATAAACATTTACTACTCGTTCAAAATGCAATATATCGAAGTACTTCTAAAAGTATTCTGCTTTTGTACAAAAAACCAAAAATGAGTTTTGATATTAGAAAAAGTGAAAAAATAAAAAAAAATAATAATAATAAAAAGAAAATAGGTAAAATAAATAGTGTTTAAAAATGTCAATAATGTTTTTGAAATAATAATGGTGCTATGCGTTAAATATTATACCCGGTATAATATACATATAATATTATATTATAGATTGATAAATAATTATGATAAATTATTATATTTCTTTAGCACGCGTTTTACATTGTTATTGTTTGTTGTACTTATTGTAGTCGTCGTCGTCGTCGTCGTCGTCGTTGGTCGTTCTGAACAGTATATTAAGTTTTGTCGGGAAGTAGAACGAAATAAAGAAAAATAATATCTAAGAGAGATGATAAGAATAATTTATATCGAGCTGCAGCAGACCGTAATATTACATTATATATATATAAATATATGTGTACGCATAGTATTGTGTCGCGGCTTTGTTTATTTTACTGGTGACCTTTTTGCCTAGGGTATTTCGGCTGTGTAGAAATTTACATAATCGCACACCGTTCAAAACTGCTCGAAATCATTTATATATATATATGTATATATTATGTGGGTATGTGTGTATACACCAAATGAACGTCTTTTCGCGTAACAATTTTTTTACCGCTCCGAAAAGTTTTCGTCTGCAGAGACGCCATCGGGGGTAACGTCGCACGCGAACTGAAACTTTATATATATATATATATTTGTTTTTTGTTGTCGTATTCTCTCATTTTCTGTGCACCGCGAATCAGCGACGAGTTCGTCTTCGTCGTATACACATGATATAAATAATATATACACGTGTACGAAGTTGTTATATGGACAACAATGTAGTGTACGTTTCTCTCCGCTGCAGCGTTTTTGTCGACTTCATCGTATGCTGTACGGAGTGATCCACATAATAGTGAACACTCAATATTAAAAAAAAAAAAAACACGCTTTGATTTTTGAAAACATTTATTTATATGATTTTAAGTCATTAAAGAACAACATTTAAAAAAAAAAAAAAAAATTATATTTTTCCTCTTTTTAATGACAACGTAATAAATTTTTGATTTATTTTTTTTTTTAAGAGAGAGAATGTTACACTCACACTTATCTATCGTATAAATGGGTAATATAGAAAATTTACGACGTAATTTTATTTTATTAGTATTTTTTTTTTTTTTTAATGTTAGAGTGAATTCACTAGTAATAAAATGTTAAATAAAATATTAATGCTAGAACATTATATTTGTTATCTTATTAGGTTAATTTATGTATTTAATTTAAAAACGAGAAATATAGATTTTTTAATCGCAATTTTTTACGGATTTATAAGTTATATAACTCACTTTATAGTTAAAATATCATAAAAGCAAGCTGATGAGAGAATAAACGAATACTATTTTATATATACGTTATTAAACTTTTAAATTTAATGAAACTGACAAAACTAAACAAGTCCCGCTAATCGTAAATTTTTCATGTAGCTATAGAGATGGATTCTATAACGATAGCCATATACTAGCCATGTACTTTTTTTATTAATATTAATATTAATCAATACGTTTTAACCACAACAATGGTCAATAACTTTATTAGCTTTAATCATATAACAAATCCACATGTAATTTATTAACTTTTTTTTTTTTTGTTCATTTTTCGATTATTACCGTTTTATTATATTTCAAAATTAGTCTATAACACAAATCTGTTTATTTTTAAAATTGTGTTATTTTATTTATCGCTTAAATCTGTGAACCTAGAATGTATTATGCTCAATCGTTATTTTTTATAATATGTTTCGCTATGAGTTAAAGGTTTTATACCTTTCTATGATTTTTAAACTTGATTATTATAAATAAAATGCATTATTTGTGATATGAATTTTCAAATTCGACTTAGTGGTAAAAGAGGTGTCTAGATGATCGGCGTTTTCTCATTTCGACGTATAAAAATATATTATTCGAGTGCTTCAAGACCTCTATACACCTATGTAACGTTTACCGATTTATTATATTTTTCAGGTCCCAGGGCGGTGGTATGTTCGGTGACGTAAACATATCGGCGATACTCGATTCGTTTAGTTTGAGCTATGACAAAAGAGTAAGACCAAACTACGGAGGTGAGTGTTACCATGGTTTTAAAATATTATTATTGTTACACTAACCATATAAATATATATATATGTATATATACATATATCATGAATTATGTTAAATTTATGTTAATAATATAATTAATAAAATTATTTAACATTTATTATTGTATAATAATATTAAATAGTTTGAACTCAATTTTCCAAAATCACTTGGATATTATATCATGATAATATATACGTATATAATTATATTATACAATGCATTACCTATAACATGTACGTAATAATAGTGTTGCGCGTATTGTCCAATTGACTTACAATGCGCGTTGGTAATTGTCACGGTAAAAAGAAAATCGATATTTCGACTTCGGGTTATCAATGATAACAAAGCTGGGAGATCAGGTCATGCAACATATATTATACACCTGTGTACATTTTAATATACGACTATTCGATCGGTCGTCACTCTATAAACTGCGATTACGCAAAGTGCTTATTAATATAGTATAATATATTGTACTTTAAACATAGATAATAATATTTCCTACTTAATATTTTGTATAGCAAACATATTTTATATACGTCGTTATGTCTTTTAGATGCGATTGTCCAAATCCAATGGCTTTAGGCATATTATAGGTATTGCTGTAAAACACTTAACTACACAAATTCGTATATTACATTAAATATTATACTGCAGTAGTGCAGCACTGCAACCCCTACAGCTTGCAGATTTACATGATAAATATTTGTCAGGAAAATCGGTCGTGTTGAACGGTCACGATATTATGTTGACAAAGGTCGGCATGTTAATTTATTAAAATATAGATAAATAATTAACTCCAGTTAAATTAATACAAGACCGTTAGAGAGAATATTTAACACATAGTTAAAAAATAATAAGTTTAACTCTCTAAGTATTAAAGTTAATGTGTAAAAAAATATTAATATAACTCAGTTTAGAAAAATATAATCCACTTTTTCAATTAATATCTGAATCCCAAAAATAATATTTTGTGTTAATCTATGTATAATATTATTTTATTAAAAATATAACACTAATATTATAGTACTATTTATAGTATCAGATTATTAACCTAACCGTGTAAGTTTAAAGAGATATTAATGTATGAACAAAACCATTAAAACCGAGCATTTCAAAAACATTTTTAATTTTAACTTGACATATTATTTTCAATGTTTACTAAAAAAAAACCTGAACTATTTCAACATCCAATTATGAAACTAGTTAAGCTCTTAAGTTAATTATAAAAAATCAATTATAGTTAAGTTAAATCATCACATTTTATACATTGATGACGTGTGATACATACCTAATACCTATAGTATAATATTTTAAAATATGTATCGTTCAATATGGTTCTAATTTATAGATGTACAATCGATTGTCTTATACGAGGGGTGACAAATCACCATCACTCGGGGAACTCATCGTATAAAATAATATTATTATAGAAATTTCCACACTGTGAAATTGGAAATAAAATCGCATATCAATTCACCATCTTGAAGGACTGTCCTCGAAAGTAAACAAATACACTCCGTAAAATTGTTTGTTAATTAACTTAAAGTTATTAAATTCAATTTAAAATATTTATTATTATTGTTAATAAGGACGCTACAAAACTCTGTTCTACCAAAAACTTTAATTTTTATAAAGTTTAATTTAATATTAAAACTCAGTGGACTTGCGGACTTATTTTCTTTAATAACGTATTACATGTTGTGAACTAATACATTTTAAGTCTTTTATAATAAAAAGAAAAATACTCTAGAGAAAATGTAAATTATTTCATTATTAAAACATCACACGATATTTTTAATTTAAAAAAATTAATTTTTAGTTTTGGCGAATACCATTTACGTACATTCTGTATATTTTACTTGTAATTTGATAAGACTACTTCCGCATAGGTACATAAAAAAGTTCATGGAACGTTATTTTACTTTTTAATAAATTTAATTGAAAATTGATAGGCTGTCCGTTTTTAGTTATCGTAAAAAATATTAATCCATTATTAATGGAGATTTACCGAAATTAATGATATCGGTAAAGATCGATTTCAAACATAAATCTTAATTTATAACTTTAATTATTAATGATGATAATATCTTGTTATTGTGCATACATTTTGGTTTAAAATCAAAAGTAATTTTGTTTTCTTGTATTAATTATTTCAATAACAATATAATATCAAATAAAGAAAAAAAAATGTTTAAACAGTTTATTATAATAATAATAATAACATGTAGAACTTAAATAACATGAACAATTATTTTAGTATAGTATTATTTAACGCTCTAAATTGCACAACCGTAACATTGTAGGATTAATTAGTAATATAGTTATTAAATAAACAGCAGTAGAACAAAACGGTCAGAAAACAGAACCCTCCCCTTCCTTTCACGGTACATTTTATAACATTATTTATTTTTCATACACACCAATATAAGTCATGACCTTCCTCTCAAAACGCATAGTACAAATTGTCCGTCCGTCAAATCTCATCGGACGTTACCAAGACGTGTTCAATAATCGCGTAATCACCGCGGTATTCTTTGGGCTCGCGGATCCCATGTCCTAATATACATTATATAATAATATTTTTATGAACATCAAATTGTCTGCGGTCATGGCCCGTTTCTTCTCTATACGATTATTATCATTATAATATCGCGGCAGAAAGACGTTTCCCAAAAAACGGTTTCTAATTCTCTACTGCATTTATAGGATATAAGACAATAACGTAAACGTTGTCGCTGTATGACATGCTATCGTATAACATACGTATATATATAACGCAAACTCAACCGCAGAGAGAGTTATGTGTCGTCAGCGGTGGTGGTCGAGCCGAACGTGCACCCCGCGCGAGGGCGTTTATAACCTCGCGGTGGTCCCACATCATCTTTGTGCCGCCGAAATCGATTTGACCTGTAGCGCCCGCCGACATCCCTTTCGGCCGTCGCCGCCGCCGTCGTCGTCGTCGTCGACGCGTATATATTATTATATTATTATTGTGTACGTGCACAACTTTAGATTTCAGCCACCGCCGCTGCTGCCGCCGCTCGCCATCGTTCGTTTATTCACTCCTACTTTTTTTCCGCCCTTTTTTACTGATTGCGAGAACATAACGCGTTCTAATGTTGCATAATAATATATTAATAAGACCATACGCGTGGTTTTCTCGCCAAACATTACAATGATAATAATATGGTTGGACTATATAACGAAATCAATATGATAATAAAATTAATATCGGATTAAAACGCATGCCCCGTGATGATAGTGACATTACGTTAAATAATAATCTTTGCCAAGTAATAGGTATTAATCGAAAACTAAACCAACATTACCCAGGTCAAAAGCGTGATCTACAGGTACCTTGATGTAATTTTGTGATCTATATTTTCGTTCATCTTCGGAATTTTCGCACTAAATCTAATGCACTAATAAACTAGATAATTTACCCAGAACAAACACCCTTTTTTCACTAATTTTATTTAATTTTTCATTTATTCTAAATCTGGTTTTTAAATTTTTCATATAGTTAAATATCATATTTTTTCATACCATTTAAAGAGTATTAAAATATAAACATTTTTTTTCTTTCAAACAAGATAAACCCTTAAGAATTTCTCGATTTATTCAACTTATATACTAATGATAATTTAATATTATCTAATGCCAATAACTGTACATGATTTATATTAGTCCAAGTACGTTGTATAAAAAATAAAAATGTATGCAAATTTAAAATTTGTCTAGTCCTATTCTTATCAAGTACTCATTGTTCAGACAATTATTATAAAATATAAAATACTAACATAATATAATTTATTAACTATAATTGTCAAATAAACTAAAATAAATATTTCAAATTAATATTTTAATTTTTTTTCTAACTAAGTATATATTATATATATATTTTAATACGTAATCAATAAAATAAAATATCTTGAAAATTACTAATTTGAGTTTTTATTTAATTGCGAAGGTACATCTTCATTTTCAAAAAAATATCTGCTTATTATTGTATAAGTACAAAAAGATAATTTTTATTTAAAATACAGAAGTTTGAACCACCACAATATATTCCTTAAATATTATAAGAAAATCTTAAGTATTCAAAAATCTAGCCTAAACAAATTAAAAAATTTCAGAAAATTAGATTTATAATTACATTATCAAAATAAAAAAAAAAAAGGAGGCTAATATACACAGTGATTTATGTTTTGTAAGATCGTCAACAGTGATATGTGGTAATTGAGTATTATTCTAATCATACTTATATTCTATTCCTCTTACTGCAGTTGAATTCGGGCAATCGATGAAGCGTGCTATTTGGTTTTTTTTTTACATTATAATTTTGTATCAGCCACATTAACTTACTTTCATGAGGATGCGATATATTGAGGTCCATAAAGATTTTAACTGCGTTAAATATTCACGACACTAAACTGATGATCAGATACGTTTCTGTAATGAACATCGGTGACGGTTAAGAGAGTTGATAAAAATAACTGAATACCATAATATGATTAACGGTTTAATTCTTCGATAAAAGTCAATTTATGTAATTTTAAAGTAACCTACCAATAATGACAAATTTTTTTTTTCATGATTTGAGGAACTTACTGTCAATCAAATTACTCTGCTACAGAAAAAAAATTTACATGAACAAAAAAACTGTAATTTTGCACAAAATAAAAAGTCGAAACATAAAATCTGGATTCTTAAAAATATACAAATAAAAAGTGACAACATAGTTTGACGTCAATCCAATAGAAATTATAAATTTTGTCAAATGTAAATTTACGGAAATTATTATTTAAATATAAGACATAGCCGTAATTTTAAAACTTTATGGATTCGATAATAGTTTTTGTGTATTTAAAGCTATAATATCTATAATATTATGATATATTGGCATATGGTATTATGACATTGAGATCACTATATTAGTTTGTTATTTTAAGTACAATGTTATCGGTAAGATTTTGGATTCACCAGTTTTTTTGGTTTACGGGAAAAACAAATAAAGTCGTAAAAATTTGACTCAAATTTTGAAATATTCCTACAAATTATATATTTACTAAATATTTAATTAGGTGTAACAAAGTGCTTAAATTCATTAGTGTGGCCGCATAAACAATATTGTAAGTCTATTTTCCGGTGGATCACGCGTTTGACTACCTAATATAAATAGTTATATAAATCGAACCCAATAATTACCGAATACGTATAATATTAAATTATAGTTATATGTTAAAATGATACTTTAATTTCTGTAATACGTTTTAGGTACTGATAAAATATTTTTATAAAACGTATTCGCTATACAATGAATTTAAATATTATTATTATTATACACAAATAATCGAAATAAATTGCACAATAAAACATTTTAATAATCGATACAGTGGTACACTGAACTTTTGTTCACTGTACGCCACGGTATACCTACGTTTTATATAACAACAATATTAAATAAAAATCGAAGATTGCTTCGGTTATAATATGTATATTATTTACCCCACAGCAGATTGTTGTTAATAAAAATGAGGCAGCTATCTTTATTACAATTTAAAGTTCGTGCTGCGTCATGTTTGCTTTACGCAGAAATGATGCATGTTTTTATCACTATTCATAATATAACAGAACGATGCAGTATATGATATGTCTCAGATGACATGGTGGCTTTTAGTCTAAAAAACGTTGACATCACGTGACACATTAAGTGTGCAGACTTAGCGCCAGTTTTTCTGTAAACCAGAAAACTGTCTGTACGAAGAAAGTGTTTATTATATATTATGAAAACGGATTTTTTTTCCATACCCTATTTAACACGTATATCATAAATAGAATATTAAACCAGCCAGAATTCATGTACGTGGTTGATTTATTTTTTATAAGATATTCAACTACATAGAGGTGCTTTTATTATATTATTATGTTGGTATTAAAATATTATATGTAGGTCTCGTAAATTTAAAAAAAGTAAACAACACTTTTACAAGGGAGAAAAAACGTCCCGAAGAAAAAGTAAATTATTTTAATTTTATTCGAGAAAATAGAATATAACTATAAAATAATCGCTCGTTGAAAAATAAATTTTATTCACGTGCATATGATAATTGATATAAAACTACTATATAAATTCAATGTATTTAACCCTATATAAAATCTTTTAAATATATATAAAATCTCAAATGATTAATTTAAAAAACGTATTGAAAATTTTCATTGAATATGAAAATAAGTTATGCATGAAATATATCAAAAATAAACCTATTAAATTCAAAATAACTAAAATCGACGTTTTACTTAATTAATCTACAAATTTCAATTTAACACAATACATAATATAATTATGAATATAATTAATATTTTTAATTGTCTTTTCTAATCAAATTATAACCATTATTTTATTTAATAACCATTTGACACATAATGTATACTACTTTCCTGTGTACAATGTATTTTTTTTTAATATGAACATCTATTTATTTCCATAAGGGCTGTACATAAAAAAAAAAATAAATAATTTAAAAATCTACAGGTGTAAAAATATGAAAAAAATATAAAATTATATTACCTATATCAATTAAATATCGTATATTATTAAAAGTTATATAATAAAACGAAAGTCATGTCACAAAAAGAGAAAAAAACAAATTCGCTAAAAATTCACAGCCTTTCTAAATACCAGCATTAGATTAATATATTTTGTTTCAATTATACATATTTATTATATGTATAATTTATTTATTACAAGATCATCATTTTATATATCGCGGATATTATTTATATGTTCAGATTTAAATCTAATTTTCCGTAACTATGGGATGAGCTATTATTTTTATATATACTTAAGTTTAGTGTTAACGATGTTTCGTTGTCACGAATTTAATTTATGGCTCGGTGAGCGAGGTATGGAGCAGGAAAAAGTTTTAAATGTCTAAGAATCAATTTTTTACGTGTTTGATATCGCTCATATAATATCTAAGTTAAAAATATGCAATCACATAACAATATTAAGTCAGTGTTTTTATTCCTCTCATGAGCTCCTACAAAACTATCATTAAATCAAAATATAAAAAGATACACTATTATAAATGTACTATAGTCTTGCAGTAGAATACAGTGTATTTGGTATACGTACATGCAAAGCCGTACATGAAACTAATCACCCACAAGTCATCAAACACACAAAATTTTTTTCGAATTACGTAAAATTAGAATTTTTGTGTTACAGTTCTTAGGTTTCCCTTAGCATCCAATTAATAATTATATAATTACGTTACCATAGCAATCTCATTAATATAATATTTATTTTTTTGTATTAAATAAAATCGAATTTGGTTCGTTCTATCGTATTTACATTGAAATTGGGTTATCGGTTAGTGTTGTTTTTTGTGAGTTATGAAATTAAAATGTTTGAATGAGATAATAATATTTCAAACCCTTCGACAGTTTGTTTTAAGTATGGCCTTGCGTTAATATTACGGTTACCAATACACTTGTCTCGTCTATACCTGTTCCTTTAGAAAAATAGAAAAATAAACATATCAAAATATATCTATGTATTTGTTTTAATGTACCGAATTTCAGGTACGCCAATTGAAGTCGGTGTCACCATGTACGTGTTGAGTATCAGCTCTTTGTCAGAAGTCAAAATGGTACACACAAAATATTAACACAACACAAAACAATCATGATTTTTTTTTATTTTTTTATTTTTTATTTTTTTTTTTTTTGTGCCTATTTAAATAATATAGTGTATTACAACAAACATTTTTTTACACGTCATTCTGTATTATAAAAATAAGTAGTGTCTATAAATATTTCTTAAATAAGAGTTGCGTGGTATTTTGTACAATACAATATTTAATATAATAATGATATTTTTATATATATTATTTTATTTAAAGAAAAATAAGTCTTTTTTTGCGATTGCGATCTTCTTTCCGCTTTGTATTTCTTACGTATTATTCTCCGCTAGAAAGAACGCTATAGAAGCACGCTGTAGAATCGTCGAGCATTTGATTTAGGCCTATATTAAGACGTAAAACCAGTTCATAGGTATTGATTTAGTAAAATTACTCATACACCGGTTTAAATATAATATAATATAATAATATACCTGTGTCCTGTACATACATTTCAAATAAAATCTATAAAATATGATCAAAAATCGAAAGTACGCGTACTTTTAACTGCCATGTCTATTATATTGTTTGCTTTTTAAAATGTATTTAATCATTATTTTTATTACAATTATTGAGCTCATAAAAAAGTAAAATTTGCTTAATTTATAGATAATACTAATGTACAAATGGCATACTATATATTTCTGAAATATCTATAGTTAGGTACATTAGAAGAGGACAATTTTATTATACCATTAATAGTTTTAAAAAATATATATACATAGAAACATAATATATATTATAATGACTATATTAGTTGTAGGCAATGTTGTGCATTACCTAAGTAGAAATATTTATCTGTGTATTTTATCTAAGTAAAAATAATTTAAAGCATTTTTTTCATTTATTTAAATATCACTAATTATTTTTAAGTGGTTATCTAAAATAAATTATTTAAATAATTAAATAGATATTTTCATAAGTAGAAGCATAAACGCACAACACATATTGACATATTGCATTATTTCAAAAGATCTTTTTTAATCATCAATACATTTATAAATTTTGAACGGCCGGCACTGACATCATATCGTTTCAAAATAAAAATCGTATTGTTCATTTAATATAATATAGTATAATTAATGTACAATTTTTTGACTTGTATGCATAACATGTACCTATCTGTATAACTGACTCATAGAACATATTTTTTTTATTGCATTTCACAGTGCACTTTGGGTATAGTACTTGGACTTAACGTAATTATTTTTATTTTGTATTTTTTTAAAGATATAAATAATAATAATAATAATAATAATAACAACACATTTTCCTACAAAATTCATACAAACATACACGCGTGCACGCATATAATATTACACATACATATATTATATCTATCACGAATAAACACATTTAACACGATAAAGAAAAAGAAAAGCTACACGTATAAAACGGTGTCACGTGATCGCGTGCAAATAAATTTTCCCGGCGGGGCGACCGAGTGGATATTTCAAGCGCACAAATAAAAACGCTAAGGTATTTAATTCTGCCTTCACCCTATATCTGTAAAATATTGTATATACGAGTACATAATACATAATATGTATAATATTTATGTATATGTATACACACACCGATGTCTGGCACACGCTATATACCTCGACGCCCTCGAAAACATTACAGGTGTCAGGTCAACGACTATGAACGCTAAAAAAAAACTTTAGCAACAATCGCTCCATATTATGTACATGCAATTTGTGCGTTTATCATAAAAGCAATCGCAAACTTTGAATTTTTTTTTATCGTTATTACTCTTTCCGTGTGATATACGAAATTATTATTATCACTTTCGACTGCGATCATTCAAGTTCACATATTATTATTATTATATACAATATACATTATAATATACTCACTATTATTATTATTATTATTATTATTATTACGACGTATATAGTCAGTAACATTATGTACTGTATATATTATCGTAATAATAAAAAAAAAAATACACACACGCCACGGCACGATAAAAACTTGATTTTTTTTCACAGTAGGTAATTCACCTTCCGAAAACAATATTTATTGTTATTGTTTCCCGTTCGTATAGGTACAATATAAATTTATAGTGATTCACTATTTGGACGGTCACCGTTTTTGAATTCGTACTTTTATCTAGATAACCCTTACTGCAAAAAAAAATGTTTTTATAGTATGCGTATAATATTGTTGATCGAAATATTAATACATCTGATATCATTTTTTAAAGATACCTGTACAAATAGTAAATAAATATATTACAACTTTATGAACTATCAAACTTATATTTTACTAGAAATAGTCAAATGTTTTTGATTCATCACTATGTTAGACGTATATTATTTTAGTAATTCATACTATAGAAATAAGGCGTTTCATTTGTTTATCAACTTGAAAGAAATTGAGTATATTATCATCTATATGCTACGAAATTATTTTTAACATAATAAATAGATCACTTGTAATTTAATAAAATAATATTGAAAACAAAAAAAATTAATTTAACTTCTTTAAATGAAAATTACATTTGTTGATTTAGTATCATATAAAAACATTTACGTTAATAGTTAAAATAATAGAAACCCAAAAGTAGGTAACTAGAGAGACTACCTATATTCCAACGATTATATTTAATAATATTTATCATAAATAATAATTATTTAAAGTATACTAAAATGGAAAATTATAAATATTTGCACAAACCCTTCGTCAACAATAATGTTGAACTATAATGTAAGTTTGTGCGTGTCATACTCTTATATTATTTTATGATGCTTCGATGAATTAACTTTGACTTAACAGTATAGGTTCATTGTTTTTTTTTTTTTTTAAATACAATAAGATAATAATTCTGACTAATAATTTAAGCTTTTAGAATTAAATCATATAAAAACCAAAAAACTGACGAAATATTCTCTTCAAAAAAATTGAATGATATAAAAAACTATATAATTATTTATAAAAACAACAGTACCTTGCGTGTTAAATGATTCACATTACAGTCAGTTACAATAAAATTAATACCTGTAACGATTACAAAATATTTTCATCTACAATCGAGTAATATTAAGTGAAGAAATGTATTATTCAAACGGTAGAAACGTTTTGTTGTTAGTGTAGTAGGGTTGTTGAGCACGCAATATATCGCATAGTTGTTTCACGAGTCGTTATTATCATTGTTTTTATTTTATTTTTTATTGTTATTTATCTTTTCAATTGTCCTCTCTGGAACAAAACGCGTACAGTATATGATGATAGCATACGTACATAATAAATTATGATAGTGAAGGCTACAGTGAATAATAAAACGCATATCATATAATAAACATAGGTAAACGTAGTAATAGTTAGCTTTTATATATTATAAATTGTAAAATTATGTAGTAAGTTTAGGTTTGTGCATAAAATTATGCAAAGTGATTCGCCGGTGGTGTTTGTACCCTTTTCTTCTTCAATTATACAGTTGTTCAAAATCCTATTTTTGGAATTTTTGAAAAAAAAAACATAAAATCCACATTTTTTAATTCTTGAAATCGTTAATGTACTATTTAATTAACATTCAATAAGAGTTTCAAACTTTTGTTTTTTAAATGACAACCCATTTTTCTATTAAGAATAATTTAGTGGATAATTTTTTAGAAAATATTTTCGTTTCAAAATCAAAATTTAAACGAGTATTTTTTGAGTTATTTAACTTTGTTTTTGGAAGATATGATAGTTTAAGTGTATGATGTAAGTATAATTAATGCTAGATTTCAAATTTTATATTTTTTAAAACCATTTTTAAGAAATATTATTCTTATAATATCAATTATTAAGAATTAGTTATTTCAATAACTGAGAAAATATTCGTTGAAATTTTAAATTAGGTATATTCAAATTTTTAAAAAACTACCCACTAAATAATTTACAATAAAAAAGAAAGTTTTTATTCGAAAACAGAAGTTTGTGTCGCTACAGAATTTTGCCTAAGTAATATGAAAGTTCTCAACAATTTTAAAATATAAGTTAGTTAATTATTTAAAAATACTTAAAATAAAAATAATTAAAATACAAAGTTTATAAAAAGAAAACTTTGGGTTGAGCATCTTTGGTGAATCACTCTGTATGTGTCAAGAACGTTATCATGTTATAGACTGTAACGTTTTACGCTTTTATCTATCGGGTATACATTATTTAAATGCCGAGCGTGTGATCATCACTATACTATATAAATATGTAGTGATTTAGATATTTATAATGCATATAATATATAGTAATATAACTGTTGTAAAATTAAAACACATCCAAAACAGTTAATTTTGAAGCTTAAATTTGGACATAATAGTGAATATGAAACATTAATCATTGTTTGATTATACGAGTGTTGCAATCATACAAATTAGGGTGACTACATATTCTATTTAAAACGGAATTGTCCTTTTTTCGAGCATCATGCCCCCTTACCCCGACAAACTTTGAACAGAACTTTTTTTCCCGTTCTGTTTTAACCCTGTTATCTTCTTATAATAACATACTTACTATAGATATATGTGTAAAAGAAAATTCTATAAACTGAAAAAAATACATATTATTTGCCTATTTCACAGTGTATGATTATTACTTCCGACCCTTTCCAACAAAGGTAACCTTTTGTGCATAATGTAAACAGTATATATTTTTACCAAAATATTATTTATAATATAAAAATAACTATATAATTGTTAGAGGTTTTGTTTTCAAGCTGTATCTAAATAATTTGTCGCGGTTTTTTTTTTAACATAAAACATGATTACCCAACAGCGTCGTTTCAATTTTTTTTTTATAGGAATATAAGAATTTCGACATCTAAATAAACTATCAAAAATATTCGTAAAAATCCGCTCATTAAATCTTTAACTCATTGTATTAACTATATGTACTACTTATATACTATATAACTACTTAAGTCACAAAAATGCAAAATATATTATACAATGAAAACGTCTGCAGATTGGTCTTCTTTGATCTTC